CAAAGTTAAGTTTTGCACGAATACACTTCTGCTCAAAATTTCGTTCCTATGACACTTAGTTGGATATGATGAAATAGTATAGAAAAATGCAGTTTCATTTTCTCTATCTTTCTGTAAAAAAAGAATTGAAACTTCGACGAACCAATGAATTTCGTCGTAACCAATTAATAAGGCAATAAGATAGGGACGACATTACTTTTGGATACACCTAAGTAACTATGAAACGATACTAAACGAACATCGTTGGAAAAGTGTGATGGAAAAATGTGATAGATTGACTAGTGTTACGATTCAAGTAACCGGAATGGTTGTTCGAGACGAACGATCAGAACAAGAAGCACGTCGTATTCAGCATGGATTGCGTGCAATGCGACAGACAATAAGATTTCGTTTTATTTGCATGTAATGTTGCGTACGTAAATTTCCTTCAGTCTAGATACCGTGTTTTAAAAATTTTTTTTTGTGTGTGTCTATAGAATATTGTATTTCATTAAGCCAAAATAAATCTGGATGTTTCTCTTTCGAAGGAGATATGTTGCACATAACCAAGATTGTTCTAGTTTTGAGTGTGGATGTGAGTATATGGGTGAATCCATGGGTATCCAACCACTTTTTGGAAAAAGTTTTTTTAATCAAATTTGATGTGCTGGTTCGATGTGTAGAGTGTAGACAACGATATAGACCGAAAAGAAATTGTGGCATCTTTTTGAAATAGTGAAGATTTGGATCGTTTTCTAGGAACGGCTAAGGGGTGTCGTATACATTAATACACGGTTTAAAGGCTCATATTTTACCCACTGATAAAGGATCACTAGACTAGCATAACCTCCAAAGGATTCTGTTTTTCAATGTATTATGGCTAAGATAAAAAACGTTTACGAGGCAAGACTTCTGCGTGAAATCGACGAAAAACGCTCTTTTTACAGAAAATGCTAGTAGCAATGTTCTATAATAGTCTTGTATCTTAGGCATAATCTATTGAAAAACAGAATCCTTTGGAGGTTATGCTAGTCTAGTGATCTTCTATCAGTGGGCAAAATATGAGCCTTTAAACCATGTATTAACGTATAGTCGTTCCTAGAAAACGATCCAAATCTCCATCATTTCAAAAAGAAATCGTAATTTCTTTTCGGCCAATATTATTTTCTGCACCCTACCGATCGAACTAGCACATCAAATTTGATAAAAAAAAGCTTTTTCCAAAAAGTGGTTGGTTACCCATGGATTCACCAATTTATCATTTTAATCGTAAGCCAGGAATAATTGCTTGTGCGCCAAGATTTGTATTGAAGATTCTTGCAACTGCTTTTTCCAACACATGACTCATGAAAAATATGAGGATGTACGTCTTATGTTTACTATCACACGTATATTCATCCGCACCCCTAAATTCTTTTGTTTTTTTTGTTGAAGAATAAGCAGCGTTGAAGTGCTTCAAGATCAGAATAATAAAAGTCTAATGACAAAATTATTAGAAAAAAAAAATGTCACTCAGAATCACATTTTAGTTATTGACATGATCGATGCCGATAACTATACGTTCAATAAACATGTCCCACGATGAAGCGCTCAATTCTAATTGTTTACAATAGATGCCATTACGTTGACTTGTTTGTTGATAGAATTCGATCGCTTTGTTAATTTGTTCGCTCATGTTCGCAGGTAAATGTTCCAGAGATAAACCTTAGCAACATAGATTTTAGAAATTTCCAAAACATCTTACAAAAGGGGATAATCTTTCAAGATTCTCACCTTGTTCCACACTTTTTCTATATCGTTTTCGGGTGTCATCGGATAGAGCTCAAAAACTTACGCATACTGGGAGAGTTTGGCACTGCGGCACCCCTTACTTCGTGGTCAAATTGGGGAAACTGGAGGCCATCCAATAAAAGTAGGCCTTTTGGACCCCGAAATCGCCAGTTTTCCCTATAATTCAGGTCTCATTCCTCCAATAAATTAGCTGATTTGGATAGAGCTCAGAATTCTGCATAATACAAGTTACTTTTTGATGAAATTTAGTGCTTCTTCGGTGCGTGAGAAGCCAAAAAGGCTGTTTTGGGGCTAATAGAGTGGTCCAGGCTAAAAATCAAACAAATGAGTTTGATGAGCTCTTATAGTGATATTCTGAATCAGCATCCTTATACTCTGGTTCGGGTGCCGGATCTTCATATAGTATGTCATATGGATTGATGTGCATGAGTAGCGGTGGGGTGAGGGTGAGGGTGAGGGTGAGGGCTGGAATTTCTTAGAAAACCTGTTTCAGAAAACTGTTTTGGGAATATGCCCCGAAGTTTCCTCTTTCCAATGGTGAAAATCAGAACTCTCTAGCTCTATTCTATCTAAAGATATTCAAAACACAACCAAGTGCACGGTGTTTTGACGCCGATAATAGAACAATGTTTTTCAAATCTGGAAAACAAAGTAGTGGTAGTTTGCTAACCCGTGTTTTGTGATACCCCCAGGTACACACTATCGATAGATGATAAGAAAAAACCTAGGTGTTTACCTATTGTTTCAGTCAAATTTTTTCACCAAAACGGTACTATTTTTATCAGAATCAGTCATATATATCTATAAGAAGCTGCAAAATCAACGTTTGACGATTGCACATTGTAAACTTTGACGTTTCGCAAAAATTGCACAGTGAATAACGGCATCCGAGATCTGCATGGAAAAACAAGTAGTCTAATTGGATTTAGTAACACTTTATTCAGCATCTTATGTCTTGGTTATACGGCCGAGGTTTACCGTTGCTATGAACTTAGTTGTTTTGCTGGGGCAGATTCTTATAGATTTAAGAAACGCATTTAATGACTATCCATTCAAAATAAGCTCAAGCACGGTGAAATCTAACGGGTGAGGCAAAAGTTCTGCATTAATTTTGTTTTTGATACAGCGTTGAGATGGAATATCGTAGAGAAAAATATATAAAAGTGTTTGATCGGAAATGTTTCCCGAAGGCCACAAAAATCTTAGAACAAAAGGCATCGGGAAACCTTTCAGTAACTGTGGTTACAACTTTTGTATCCAAATATATTTGTTTGACCTGTTTCATTGCCCACTTTCGATGTTTTCGAGCACCCTATATATGAAGTTGTTCATTACAACGAAGGCTTATCTATTGTTACATTATAAAACTCGGAATACAACGAATAAAAAGACAACCTTTCTAATTGGGTGGCGTTTTTTCTAAATTCGAAAAGGTTACGGAACAGTTTTCTGATGCCTGATTTGTTCCTTTTGTGGCCTTTGGGAAACATTTCCGATCAAACACTTTTATATATTTTTGTACTGGCCACTTTGCTCTTTCTAACAAAAAAAGGATAAAGTCTCTACGATATTCCATCGCATCAAAAACAAAATTAATGCAGAACTTTTGCCCCACCCGCTAACTGGGTAAAACATGTATTAGGCACTTGAATACTTGCAACGTTCACATGATTTTTCCATCCAGTGACTCTTTCTATCCCGCTGCTCATTAAATTAAGTACATTCGCCCCGGTTATCGAAAGTAGCATTGTTTTTCTCATACATCCAACAAGAATTACAAAACCATTTCTTACTAAACAACATCAGAAAATCAGACTTGATTGGTGCTTAGACCATTCGAATTGGACCATCGATGATTGGAAACGTGTAATATTTTCTGATGAGACCACATTTTATATTATCAAACGCAAAAAAGAAGTTAAAATTTGGCGTACTAAAAATGAGCGATGAAAAGAAGGTTGTATGCACGTGGCAGCTGCTGGTGGGGGCGGTCGTGTTAATTTCTAGGGTGCCATTACAGCCGAGGGAACCGGTTGCTTCCGGATTTACACAGAAAATACTAATAGTGACGTTTATTGTGGTATTTTAGACAATTATTTAATTCCAACGGTGCAGTTATATCAGATGGAAAATAATTATATTTACCAACATGATAATTCCCGATATCACGTATCAAGGCAATCACAAACAAAACTTTGTGAACTTGGTATTCAATCATTCGAATGGCCAGCGAAAAGCCCTGATCTCAATGTGATAGAGCATCTATCATTGATGACAAATTGAAAGCTTTACCAATGTCTTCTATACAAGAACTAACTGAAGCTTTATCAAGTATTTGGCTATCTATAAAACCAGAACTCTGTAAAAAGCTAGTGTTTTCGATGCCCCAAAAGATTTATAAATGTATTGAGCGCAATGAAAAAGTCATATCCTGTTGAACCATATTTTATACATGTTATTTTACAGCTTTTTCGAACGATTGTTGTGTATGTCCCAGAACTTTTTGCCTGCAGAAGAATTTTATTCTTTTTTTTACATGTATTAAAACGAGAAACTTCGCGATTGAATTGTGAAATATAAAAGCTTAAACGAGAACTACACTTAACATGTGGAAAAAGTTTAATTCGATTGAAGCGCAAAATTTGGGAAACCATTCTTGGTTGTCCCAGAATTTTTTGCCCCACCTGTACCGGAGTCAACACCATCGTTGGATGCATCCGTTACTGGAAATGGTAACTGGTACAATCCCGGGAGTAGTGGCCCGGGAGCACCACACGTATAACAAATGATCGGCTGTTGATTACGCGATAGATTACGAGAACGATTCGAATAGGACGTGTTTTGACTGCATGATTGAGCGGCATATTTGTTATCGTACGATGACTGTTGTTGCGGTAATTGGTACGAACTAGCTTGTTGATAAGTGTAGCTTGGTGGTGAGGGATTAGATGGATATACGGTCGACTGTTGGGTGACTGTATTGTTGGTGTTCGATGTTCGTTGCGATGGTCCATAGCGAATGTTGCTCAATGAGAGTGCATCTTCGACCTTTCGTGCAAATGAGAGGAATGTTTCTGGTGTTTTTGGATTGTGCAGTGTAATGTATAATTTCAACGGTTCGTTCACGCCAGCTATCAAATATTTCAATTTCATGGCGCCGGACATGGTAGGATCGACTTTTTTGCACAATTCCATGGTCTTGTCATGGTATTGTGAACAAATTCATTCGTAAGGACAGACGAGCATGCTACCGAGACGGTGCACTCATCCGACATATAGTCCGAAGCCAGTAATATTTTAGGTGACATGGCATTTGGCAATGCACATGTGAGCTCGATGACTACTTGATAGGTATCGAGCTAGTGGACATTCTTCAATCAAGTGTTTTTTAAAGAAATACGACTCTGGAATGAGATTGTATTCAAATAACGATTATAGCACTGCGACAAAATGCATGTTCAAGTTATCACTTAAAACACTACTCGAGCTTTCGACCTTTATTCAATTTTAAGTGATAACTTGAACATGCATTTTGTCGCAGTGCTATATTTCTTACTTAAATCTATTTTCTTCACTGCACCACCTCCAAATTTTGTCAAATAACGATGTAAAGGATAGACATTTTATCGCATAAATAGATGTAGAAAATCAATGTGTCGGTAAATAATCAAATGATGAACACCTGAACGTGTCCAAAAAAAGATCACATTCAGAGAAATGAACGTTGTTTGAAAAATGAATATATCCCACGATCATAAACGGGGCTTCTCGTCGAAATATCGTTAGATATAGCTTCGTTTGGAGATACGATGCCGTCACAAATTAATCACACAATATATCAGTGATTCATTAGGGATCTAACTGACTGTTATGCTATGAATACACAAGTTAGGTCCATTAACAGCATAAAATCTCGTTCTGTCTGACTCCGTTTTCAACGTTAAATATGAATTGAGTATCGAGCTTTTACTGCAAATAATAAACGAAGCAGCACTACATTCAAATCGGTCGAATAATACCGTTTTGTAGCATCAGCAAAAGTCGAGTCTCGAAGAAAAACACGGAAAATTGGGTTTTGGACTGCTCTAATCTTTTCTCCAACTAATGCATTTTGTAGAGCGGATCAAGGTGGTGTTTTTTAGCATACTTTCAATTAGTGCCAATTTTTTTTCAAGAAGATAATTGATCTGCACTAAAGTGGAAGACGTTGAATTTCAACAAAACTCCACCCTGTATGGTTTTATGGATCGGAAAATTTTAACAGAGATAAGTGATAGACAAAAAGTGTTTTATGTCATTTTGTTGAGGATAAAAAGCTGCATCTAACCATAGGATTAAGCGACCAGAAAAAATATAGCAAATACCACATTTCAAGAAGACTGTCCGATGACTATGCTCTCTCTTGACAAGCACAAAATTTATCAGAAATCTCCCTCTTGTCACAGGAAAATTTCAATAAATGACTAAACCAAGTACGCAGACCTATGGAGAAAAATACGCGCTTTCACGCTGGCTATGTGAAAAAATCTTCGAAGAGGTGGCAGATTTCCGGTCTTATCCGGTCTTCCGGTGTCCTTTGCTTCTTGAATTAAAAACACACCGTGGTATTACATTTTACAGTCTAAAGTTAATATGCAGAATCGATATGCCACCTGATGAGACTCTTAGCCGAGTCGAAACACGTCGTGGTAGCTACATATTCTTTACTCACCCTCCACCCCTTTAGTAACACAAGAGTCTCTTGTGTTACTAAATAATTTGATATCGTTAGAGCTCTCCATTGCTTCGAAATCATCGGCGATTGAAAAATCGTACTTAGCCAAAATTGATGTTGTCATTATGAATAA